GAACCACAGAGTGCTTCTCCCCAGTCAAAAGAACAGCAGGGAGATGCCAGAGGCTCCCCAAAACAGGACTCACCTTGTATTCATCCATCTGAAGACAGTATGGATATGGAGGACAGTGATATTCAGATTGTTAAGGTAGAATCTATTGGGGATGTATCTGAGGTTAGAAGTAAAAAAGATCAGAACCAGTTTATTTCTTCTGAACCCACTGCTTTACATTCATCAGAGCCCCAGCATTCCCTGATAAATTCAACTGTGGAAAACAGAGTAAGTGAAATAGAACAAAACCATCTCCACAATTATGCCCTCTCTTACGCAGGCAGTGATAATATCATCATGGCCTCAAAAGATGTCTTTGGGCCTAATATTCGAGGTGTAGACAAAGGCCTACAGTGGCATCACCAGTGCCCAAAGTGTACCAGGGTGTTTCGTCACCTGGAGAACTACGCCAACCATTTAAAAATGCACAAACTCTTTATGTGTCTACTCTGCGGCAAGACTTTTACTCAGAAAGGCAACCTTCATCGACACATGCGTGTGCATGCCGGCATTAAACCTTTCCAGTGTAAGATCTGTGGGAAAACCTTTTCTCAGAAGTGTTCCTTACAGGATCATCTTAACCTTCACAGTGGAGATAAGCCCCATAAGTGTAACTATTGTGACATGGTTTTTGCACATAAGCCAGTTTTGAGGAAACATCTTAAACAGCTGCATGGCAAAAACAGTTTTGATAATGCCAATGAAAGAAATGTGCAAGACCTCACAGTGGATTTTGATTCTTTTGCATGTACAACAGTCACAGACTCTAAAGGGTGTCAGCCACAGCCTGATGCAACACAGGTCCTGGATGCAGGTAAACTGGCCCAAGCTGTCTTGAACTTAAGAAATGATAGTACTTGTGTGAATTGAGTAGGGGCTTTATGCTCACAACTTAGAACTGACTGAAAACGTGGCAATAGTCTTGAATCTTTTTAGGAGTGATTTCGCTAGTTTGACTTCTCCAAAGCCTCTGTGCAGGTTGTAGGGGTGAGTCAAAGCACCAACAGACAAGGCAACTTACCACTTGAAGTGGTCTTGCCTTCCTTTTGCCCTCTCCCATTTTGTGTTTTGAATTATTTATCCTGTGTTGTCTGTTTTACTTTTCTAAGGAGTATTCCATTTGTCTACCTAACATTGACTTTTGTTTTAGACCGACACTAGTTTAGGCTTTTCACTGGGCACATTCTAAGGGTACCAATAAGTTAATAGCAACACCTACGGTCCACTAATAGATGCTGTGATAAGAAAAGTGAAGAGTATTTTTCTTTGGCAGAAAACAGGCTGAGATAAGATGATATTGGTCTTGGCCTGAATATGTGATACAACTTCTGGCTGCCTATTGTTAATTGCCAATTGATAATGAATCTGCCTCCTACCATTTGTACTTGTCTTGGAGCTGGCTATGAAGTATTTTGGGTTGTTCTGTTCTCTTTTCAACAGTATTATCACCCAACTTCATGTCACTGTGTTGTTTCCGAGGACCAGAGTACAATGTTTTCAGCAACACCTACAGACAAATAGTTAGGAATCAGCATGAGAAGCATAATTAAAAAGGATAGAAGTATAATTTACAATAGCACTTACATGGGAGATCTTCCCAAAAAGAAGCCAAATGCTTATAATTAATGTGTATCTCATTTGTTGATGCTTTTCAAGTCAGGATTGCCCTAGGCACACTTAAAATGTGCTCAGAAGGAGCAATATAATGGTCTCTCTCAAAAGGGGCTATTTGGGAGTCAGTCTCTGGACTGTTTTAGAGGTTAGCCATCCAAAAGGTGAGTTTGGCCTTTAGAGTTTTATCTGTTGTACTGTAATAATCTCTGTATCCTCATTTCTTCATGTACACTTCATGTACACTAGTTTCTAAGATGGATGAAAAAAGTGGATCACAGAAGGAGCAATCAGGTTTTTGCATTCAGATAGTCCTAAAAAGGTACATAGTCCCACCTTGCCATGTTTGATAGATCACTAATACAGAATTGATCTTCCAATATGGAAAAACACATTTTTTTTTTCCTAAAGCACGTGTTATAGTTCAGAAAGAAAATTATTTGAGTCTTAGTAGTTTTTGACTCATGAATTAGATTTAGGTAATAGGAGTCTTGGGGTCCCTTAGAGAATCTTTAAGCACTCATATACTCCACTTCTTTTATTTAAGCTGGGGTATCCAAAGCCCAAAGAGGTGGCCTGGTCAAGGTTGGCCAAAGTAGAGAAGTGACTAAAAATACGAGCTAATGTCTCCTTATTTCTCACTATCTCTCAACTTAAAAAGCTTTAGTACATGATCAAGAATATTATTATCAGCAAAAAGCTCCTAGTTTGTGCTTCACTTTTTGGAATCCCTGTTGGATTTTTGAGACAGCCCAGAATTTGCAAAGAAAACATCACAGGAAGGATGTATTTTTGTTAATTGTATTTTGGTTAGAATGAATACAACATTCTGCTCAAGCAAGTGGTTGATTTGCTAGGTGGTGGTCAGGGAGAAAAAGGACAAGTAAGAATAATGTGAGAAGGAAACAAATGTGAATCTGACTTTGTCTGGAAGCAGTGTTTATTTAGTTTCCATTGGGATTTTCTGTTTCTATTTTTATTTTATTTGAGCTATGAGAATGCATGTACAGATAAACCAAAACTTGAGTTTAACTTGAATAGTCACAGGGAATTCTTCGAGCTGTTATAATTTGATGCATTTACATGTGAATCTGACTTGAGGTATAATTTCTACCTTTTGTTAAAATCCTTAAAATGAGAATAAAATTGAGTGATAAGACTAGTAGGTATCTTATGCCTAAAGTCACTCATTTTATGGTGTAATGATGCTACCTAGCATTCTGATTTTTATATGATCCAGCCAAAGTATACCAGTTCTATGCAACAGTGAGACATTAACGTTAACCAGTGTTTCTCTGAACATCATTTCATCATAGGGAAATTTGAAGTTGGAGTGCTTCCTTTGCTTACATTCATGTCCTGTTTTTGTTACTGGTTTAAAGATTAAAAGGCATGAGTTAAATAAGATTGGTCTCTTTGGTTGGAGACTATTTCTGGGTTCATTCAGTCATTTGAGAAACATTTATTAGGTACCTTTGTTGCCAGGCACTGTGCTAGATACTGAGGATACAAAGGTAAGATTGCTAAGGTCCCTGCCCTCACAGAGCTTATGGTCTCATATGGTCTCATGTGGTCTTAGGTAAGGTGATTTTATACTAGGAATAATAAAATGCCTTGCTTTCTTTGATCACTTAAAATCAGCATCTTGATTTTTTTTTTTTATCAGTAAAACTGGTTCTCACCTTTTGCAGCTGCAAACCACTGAAGTGATTTACAGTCTCCTCCATTTCTTGGCTGGAGAGGTGTTCTGTTTCTGTGAGACATTTTCTTAGCTTTGGTGGGACTTGACTTTTCTCCTTTATACATGTTTCTTAGATTGTATTTCAAAATGGTCAAGTTACTGATATCAAATACATTTTAGAAGGGAAGATGACTTTCAAAACTAGTCATATTCTTTGAGAGGAGGAAGGTTTTTTAAAACCTTGGTCATTCTGCATTTGTATTTTATGGATCCCCAGGATAACTAAAAAGGACTCTCTTTACCATAGTTTGGTTTTTAAAAAAATTACCGTGTCACCATTATTTATTTATTTAATTTTAAAGACAAACTCCAAACTGAAGTGGCTCTGAGGTAAATCAGATGTGGTTTTGTTTTAGTTTCTTTATTAGAAGATCTCTAAATGGTGACCAGTGTCACCACTTCTAAAATACTGTCCTTAACAAAAAACCAGAATATTTTATTTCAGCTGGTGAATAGCTGTTCTAAGTCTGTTGTATGTTAGACATACTATGAACTACCTCTTCACTTATTATGGGGAAGTTTCCTTAATAAAAGTGTGACAATTAAATCTCTGGTGTCAGTGGTTTCTTTTTTTCTCTCCCTACGGATTTACTTTTCAGTTGCCTGAATTTGAATAAGAAATGCTTTCTTCACTCCTATTGTTTAAAACACATTAATCAAGCACACTGAGCTTGGCTTTGGAAGCAAATCTGGTTAACTAGAAGTTGTTAGCAAGGTCTGTTACTTCCATGAGAACCTGTTGACTGAGGGGGTGGAGCTACTGCTTTTAAGAATTGATTCAGACACCATTTCCTTTGGCAAATACCTGATGCCTACTCAATGCTAGATTTCGGGCATGCGAAGATCATAAATCACTGTCCTAAATACCTCCGACCAGATGGGTCACAGATTTCAATACAGGTATAATTGCAATAATGAAGGCAGCCAAAGGGTGAACAGGCTTCCAACTAGGAGCCAACTGACTCAAGGGCAGTTCAGGATGGCTTCAGGGATGACGTGATTTATGAACGCGATTTTGAAGGATGATAAGTGGGAAGAGGGATAGGGCACGTGGGAGGAGGCAGCCCCGAGTTTAGATAGAAGGCCTGGATTTGACCAGAACTGGCGGGTGGGGAGGTGGTGCATGGGCAACGGGGTCACGCGATGGATTGGTAAAATGAGATCCAGAGGTAGGAGCCAGATCCTGATGGTCATTAGCTAGGCAATCTCGAATGCTGATCCCCGCAGTCTCCTCTCCTTTCCTCTGCCACCTTTAAAACTGTAGAAGGCCGAGTGAGGAAAGAACCCGGCCCGCAAACGAGAGAGCCTCCGAGTGGTTCCGGCGCAGGGTATTCCGACAGAACGCGCTGTACCCCAGCCTCACAACCCGTCTGCGATTCGGTCGTTGGGGAGAACTCACGAAGGGCAACGGCTCGCGCGCCGAAAGTGGGGCAGGAGAGACGGGATTTGCCGGAAACCGGGTGCCTCTCTGTCATTCCAGGAGCGGGGGTAGTGAGGAAGGGAGACTGTCTCAGGATATCCTTCCGGGACGCCAGCCCACCCCAGTGAGGAGCGGAGCTAGTTGACACCGGATGTGTTTCCTCCCAGGCTAAGTCCACCTTCCGGCCTAGGCCGCCGCTGCTGCGGAAAGCTGGGCTCTGGCTCTCTGAGTCGGTGAGTTAGCGCGATGGGGCGGGCCGGTGGGGGAGCCTGAGGAGGGCGAGGTGGAGGAAGACGGCAGCTGGGCACGGCCAGGGAGGCTGGACTGGTGCTACAACCATTTGGGCGACAGGGCCTAATATCCTGGCAGGCTTAGCTCGGGAAGAACCCCGTGTGTGGCGAGCTGCAGGATCTTCCAGGCCATCTGGGGGCCGGATCGGTTCAACAGATGTTCCCTCAGTAGCGCCTGCTCTGTGCCGGCCCCTGTGTTCGCTGCAGGAACTCAGATGAACCAGGCACCTTTTCGTGGTGCTTTGGGGGCAACTGACTGTTGGGGAGACAGAAGGAGGAGTCACAGCAATCTTAAGTGCTTTGGAGGCTTAAAAGAACCAAATCACTAGCTGGAAAGAGGAACTGGAAGCGCAAACATAACATGTGCAAAGGTGTATTCGGGTGTTCTTGTCTGGGCAGTGATGAAAATCTCAATATGGAAGGAGCTTAGATGAAAAAGAAATCGAGAAAAGATAACACCTTAAAGAGGGTTAGGACCAAATCATGAAGGATCTTCTATCCGCTAAGAAGAGTAGGCTGTTCTGGAGGGAGAGAACAATGGAGAATTTAAGGTAGAAGGGCGGGGTGCATTTTAAAATATGTTAGTTCTGGTGACACTGAGGAGGGTAGGGAACATGGGAGAGTGTGGTTTCAAGGAGACTTGTTGGAAGACCTTGCAACGGGCCCTGGGGAGTAGAATGAGGACCTGCAGTACTGATAAGGAATAGGAAGCCTGGAGATTAGGGTAAGGTTTCTAATGTGGGAAACTACATTAAGTGCCCTAGTGGACATTAAGAGTATCCTGGACCACAATATAGATAAAATTTAGGCAAGAAGTGAAACAGAAACTGTTAAATACAGCTCAGTGTAACAAGTACTTAACAAAAATATGAAAGTACTGTAACAAAAATAAGAAAACTCTGTTAAAAGAGATCATAGAGAAATGCATTCTAATTTTCTGGGTTGTGAGATGGTGGCAAAGGGGTTCACTCTTCGTACCCAGATTAGAATTTGAGTCTTCTTTTGCCCAATTCAGGTTTGGGATTTTTTTGTTTGTTTTTACCGTCATATTGTAGGAAAGTATTTCCTATCTTTACATCAATGTTTGTGTTTTATTTTTCTTAGATTGTGACCATGGCTGCTGAATCTGATGTTCTGCACTTCCAGTTTGAGCAGCAAGGAGATGTAGTCTTGCAGAAAATGAATCTCTTGAGACAACAGAATTTATTTTGTGATGTGTCAATTTATATTAATGACACCGAGTTCCAGGGGCATAAGGTGATTTTAGCTGCTTGCTCCACTTTCATGAGAGATCAGTTTTTACTCACACAGTCAAAACATGTCAGGATCACCATCTTACAGAGTGCAGAAGTTGGCAGAAAACTGTTGCTGTCTTGCTATACAGGAGCACTTGAAGTTAAAAGGAAAGAGCTTTTGAAATATTTGACTGCTGCTAGTTACCTGCAGATGGTTCACATTGTGGAAAAGTGCACAGAAGCTTTGTCAAAGTATCTGGAAATTGATCTTTCTATGAAAAATAACAATCAGCATACCGACCTGTGTCAGTCCTCTGATCCAGATGTTAAAAATGAAGAAGAAAATTCAGATAAAGACTGTGAGATAATTGAAATTTCAGAAGACAGTCCCATAAACATAGATTTTCACGTAAAAGAAGAAGAAAACAATGTTTTACAGTCTACAGCAGAGTTGACACCAGAGAGAAAGGAAATCAAGTCACCAGAGCTATCTTCAGTAGATATTGGTTTTAAAGATAATGAAATTTGTATCCTCCATGTGGAATCTATCAGTACTGCTGGTGTAGAAAATGGGGAGTTTTCACAGCCTTGTACCTCTTCGAAAGCAACCATGTATTTCCCTGAAACACAGCATTCACTGATCAATTCTACAGTTGAGAGCAGAGTGGCAGAAGTTCCTGGGAATCAAGATCAGAGCTTATTCTGTGAGAATACTGAAGGAAGTCATGGTACAGTGAATGAGATTCAGAACCTGGAGGATGCTTATTCACTGAGGCACCAGTGCCCCAGGTGTCCCCGAGGATTTCTTCACGTTGAAAACTATTTGCGCCACCTTAAGATGCATAAACTGTTCTTGTGCTTACAATGCGGGAAAACATTTACCCAGAAGAAAAATCTGAACCGGCACATTCGAGGACACATGGGCATACGGCCCTTTCAGTGCACTGTGTGCTTGAAGACCTTTACTGCCAAAAGCACACTTCAGGACCACTTGAACATACACAGCGGAGATCGCCCATACAAATGCCACTGTTGTGACATGGATTTCAAGCACAAATCTGCCCTCAAAAAGCACTTAACCTCTGTCCATGGCAGAAGTAGTAGTGAAAAACTACCCAGGCATGATCTCAAAAGCCAAAATCTACTATAATTAGAACCACACATTGCTGTGTAAGCCTTGTATCATTCTGTTGGGCAAGCTTTTCTATAGAAATGCAGCATCTGTTATATTGCATTCCTCCCTGCATCTTTGGGTCTTAATTTCGGTCTGCCTACACATGTTATTCTTTTTGAACTTCTACTACCAGTTCCAAAGTGTGGGAGACATGATAAAGCTAATGGGATGCTGTCTTATCTCATGTATTATATCTAGAAATACCACTATCTCAAGTGGTATATCTAGAGAAATAATGTTCCTCTCTTAAATATTCTTGATTCTAGTGACAGAGGATCCAGCAGTATTCCTAGATTCTGATTTTGAGTCTCTAGATAAATGATATAAATGTAAAATCCCAACCATATAATAATTTTTAGGAATTAGGATAACAGGAAGAGAAAATAAAACATGCTATAATCCATTATTAGTTCTTTGTAGGACTAGTGAAATATATATATACATATATATGTATATATACTTTTTTTTTTTAACTACTGTTGGATTCTAAACTAAGCACCAAGGTACTTGTTTTAAACTGTGAGTGTGTGTTTTAAACACACTTCAAATTCACTTGAAAGTAGCGGGATTTCCTTGTACTTGGCTAATCTTCCTTAAAATGATGTTTCCATGATTTGTTAGTATATATAATTTGAAACAATTAATTGGGTCCAAGTTTCCTGATTTTATTTAATACAGTTGTATTTAGTAATTTTATGACCAGTGAAATTATATCATTGGCGTGAAGCTCTGAAAAATTTCTTTTAGGAATCCCAATTCTGGGGCACCTGGGTGGTTCTCAGTCACTTAAAGATCTGACTTCAGCTCAGGTCATGATCTCATAGTTTGTGAGTTTGAGTCCTGCATTGGGCTTGGGACCTGGAGTCTGCTTCAGATTCTCTCTCTCTCTCTCTCTCTCTCTGTTCCTCCCGTGCCTGCGCTCAGCCTCTCTCTAAAAATAAATAAACGTTAAAAAAAAATTCCAACTTTACCAAAGATAGTCTACTGTTTCCTTTTTAAAATTTATTTTATTTTTTAGTTAACATGTAGTAAAACTTACCTTTGTTTTTGGTCTACATGTCCTTGGATTTTAACACATGTAAATTTGTGCAGCCACCACTGCAATCAGGATACAGAACATTCCATCATCCTTAAAAACTCCCTAAGGATGTCCCTTTTCTATTAAACTCCTCCACCTATCTCTAAACCCTGGCAATAGTTCCCCATTGTGTAATTTTGCCTTTTCTGGATTGTCAGAGTGTAATCTTCTAGTATTCCCTTGTGAGATGATTTTTTTCACCATATAGAATGACATTGAGATTCATCCATGTTGTGTGTAGTTTAATAGTTTATTCCCTTCTTTATTTTTTATGAAAACTTTTTTGATGTTTATTTATTTTGAGAGAGACAACATGAGTAGGGGAGGGGCAGGGAGAGGAAGCGAGAATCCCAAGCAGGTTCTGCACTGTCAGTGCAAAGCCTGATGCGGGGCTTAATCCCACAAACTGCAAGATCATGAGCTGGACAGCCAAAATCGAGAGCTGGACAGTCAACCAGCTGAGCCACCCAGGTGCCCTTCCCTTTTTTACTTTAAATTGGCCATGTATATTATGTTGTCACTAGATGAATAGTTTAAATAGGGCTAGCTACTAGTGTTCTCTTAATTATTAATAACCTCATTTACATTAATGCAATTTTCAGTTACCACATGTTGACAAAAATCCTAACCATCTCTAGAGTTTTATTCTATCTTTCCAGAAATGTGCCAAAAGCAAAACCATGACTGTATGAATATTTTAGTGAGAGTAGTATTTTTTACTGTGTATGAGCCATTGCTCTCTACTCTCCCTGTGTACAAATAACACAAAACTTTTAATTGTCATAACAAAGGTTAAAATCTATTGCAGGGCAAATCATACTCTAAAATGCAGGAACTACTTTTAGTAAAGAAGCCTGACTGGATACATCTTACTTTCAGAATGTTCTATTCCTCCTCTACTCACCTTAGCTTTATGTAGAATTTCTGCTTTATTTAGGTTCTGTTGAAACCCTTCCACATTTGAAAATGTAACATACTTTGTACCATTTATAAGAATTTTGTGATTGATCACATGTTGATTGTTGTAAATGTTAAATATCCTTTTTCGTGATACTTTTGGGAAAAATATATTCTCCATAGGATTTTAACTGCAGGAGAGACTTTAAAGAGTCCAGCTCTCATCTTTGATAAGAAAACCAACTGCATAAACCTGCCCCCACATCACTTCTTAGTGACATTGGACAGGTCACGTCTCTATCAGTTTCTTAAATTTATATGTAAAACAATAACTTTGAACTTGGTAATTTCTAAAATCATTTCCAGGTCTAAAATTCTGTGATTTTATATTTAAGTCTTCCTGCGTTCCTAAGAACAGAGAAGAGGGGAAAGCAAGAGAGGAGAGTTTTGTGTCTTTGTGAATGTTACTATTTGAGTACCACTTTGGAGACAAAATTTTTCTAAAGTAAATAGTGTTTTTCTTCCACTGGAGAATATGTTAGTACAACATTTAATTTTCTTTCCCATTTAACCTATGATTGGCCATTTGTAGGTATGAAAACATTTTTCCTTCAGAAATAGTTTGTGATTGAAGTACTTTTCTTATTTTGTTTCCTAGGATGAAATTTTGTGGGGCAGGGATGGAGGTGGGAGGGAAGGGTAAAAGAATAGTCATAAACTGTTTTTTTTAGGAATCAGTATCTACTATCTTTGATGTTTGAAAAAAATTATGGTTGAATTATGTTTAAGTTTTATGTGTGCCTTGTAAGATTCTTGTGACATTTTTGGTAAGCACTTTGAGATATTTGCTTGGGGGGAAGGGTTTTGTGAAAGTGATGGTTGTTATTTATTTTTATTTATTCCTGTCCAGTAGCACACAGTGATCTCAGAACATTCCTAGAGAGTGTCTGTTTGCATGATGTATATAAACAATTCCAGGAAAATGGAATCTTTTGAAAAATGCAGGTATGGCAAAGTAAAGTGTTGAATTTATTCACTTAAAACATTAACTTTTAGTTGTTTGTGTTTCTGATGTGATGGGTAAAAATGCAACATATTTGAATTCAGCCTTTTCATTAACTGCATTAATGTATAAAGGATTTGGTAACGTAGTTGTTGCTTTGGTATAAGAGAAAATCCTTGCTGTTTTCCTTGGATGTAACTATTCTATATGTTTACACAAGAAAAAATAAACTGGAGATGTGAATGGAGAACTTTGTGTTTTGTCTACATCTGTGAATTTTATGGAATGAAACTATTTCTTCTGGCTGTTCATTCACTCAACAAATATTTATGGAGTCCTTATGTAGTCCTGGAAGTCAGGTATACAAACAAAACTCCCTGCTCTCATGAAGCTTATATTTTAGTGGAGGGAGAAAAACAGTAAACAAGTAAAATCAGTATATATCAGATTTTAAAAACAGAGTTGGAGGAAATAAAGTAGGGATAGGGAGTGCCAGGAAACAGAAATTGGGATTGTAATATTAAATGTGATGGCTAGGCCACCTGTGAAAAATATTAGCCGAGTGTCGTATACACTGTCCAGCAGAATGAAAAACCTACATATATATGTATCCATTACTATCTAGTTGAATGGAAAACAGTGGAACAAATGAACCATTACTGAGAACCTTTCTCTTGGATTGGCATTTATGTCATAGGAGAGAATGAAAGGATACAAATGCATGGAAGAAAAGTCCTTGATTTGGCCAACAAATATTTTTTGAAAAACGCTGACGTTTCCCTGTCATGCTGGCAATATAATAGTAATAACCACATGTATACATACATATTAAGCTTATAGCTTATAAACTACATGTCCGTATGTCTAAATTTGTACTGGATTTACCTTCATGCATGCCTTTGTTGGACATCTGTGTTCACATTGGAAAGTGCCTTCAGTTCATGACCATTTTCTTAATCTGTATTTTTCAGTTTCTCTGTAACAGAGAGTACATAGTATAAATTTTTAGGATTATGTTGATGAATGAACTATAAATAAAACTAAAATAAGTGGTAAAAATGAAATTTTTATTACCTAACACAGGACCTGGTAAGCAGCTCATAAATGCTAATTCCCTTATTTCTAATACTAACTAGTCTGTTTCTTCATCTTGAAATACAATAGGAATAATTTCTACTTAACAGCTTGCTGTGAAAAATCCTTCAACAAATATTTATTGAGATATTAATGCCAGAATTTCTGCTTAAGTTTTGATTTCTGCCAGCTTGTTAAGAACTCAGATTTGTCTGTATTAATCTGTTAGTGCCTGGCAAGCAAATGCTGTTTTGTTGTTGTTTTGTTTTGTTTTAATAGGGAAATGGGCAAATAAGTGGAGGGATTGGGGGAGTGAGTCAGTATATAATTATGGGAGAGTGCGTAGATATAGATGTATCAGATTATGCTCAACGGAGACCACTTTTTGCATGACGTGAGTCAGCCACTGCCTCACAGCACTGTCTATAAGGCTAGTTCGAGACGCTGATGAAGGTGCAGGGAGTTTCCCATCAACCCTTTCGGCTCGCCTAGACCTCCTAACAGCACCTCCCACAGTGCTCCGGGGCTCCCCAGTCACGTGACGGGGGTGGTTAGGCTCGACCAGAGGGAAGCTGATGCGCAGTCCAGGTGGCGGGGGCTACTACTCTTTCCTTCCACCTCCCTAACGCCCTGTCTTGCGTGATCTCGCGTGAAAGGGGGAGTATCTTCTCGCGAGATCTAGGTCGGGATCCCTCCAGGACCGCCTCCTTGGAGAGGAGGAGGAGGAGGAGGCGGAGGCGGAGGGAGGAGGAGGAGGCCCCGTCGCGGCCTCCGCCGCCGCCAACGGGGCTGTCCCTATAGCTCCCGATGGAGTTTGAGGTCGTGAAACCGCCGCCGAGCTCTGCCCCGGCGAGACGAGGCGCCTCCGTCGCCAAGCCGCGCCGTCGCGGGGCTCCCGGGAGCGGCCCTTAGCGACCCCGCCCGGGCCCCCACAGGTAGGGCGGGGGCGGGCACGATGCTTCTCGGGCCCTAGCTTGGGTCCCTAAGTCCCCGGCGGTCGGGCGGGAGACCGGTCGCAGCCTGGGGCCTCTGTGCTGTCGTCGTCGGTGCCCCGAGGGTTGGGAACTGAGGGCCGCACCTGACACTCGGACCGGGCCCGGAGTCCGGGGCCTGCGGAGGCCCCTTTCCTCGGTAGGGCTTTTTCAATACCGAGCGCCCGGCGCAAATGGCCACCTCCCTTCGACACCGGCCGAGGGGAAGTCTCTGACCCCAAAGGAACCCACCCAAGTAAAGGCCAGGGTTGTCTCTCCTTTTTATACACCACTTAGCAAGGGGGGTTTTGGAGGAGGACCTCGAAACCAAGTCCTCTCCTAGCTTTTCGGCTTTCTGTCTTGGGGCTTACTGAGATCCCAGCGCAGGGATGGTGGAGGCGATCTGAGTGGTAAATAGGGACCACGGCCAAACAATGCCCTGAGAGGGCTTAACCTCCTGGGAGGGAGATAGTCGGACCAGAGTGGTTGCACAGTGGATGTGACGGTCCTATGGCATGAAATATGGCCCGGGAATTCTGCTGTGGCTTTCTTCTTTCCCCCTTTTATTTTTCCTTCTTGGGGAAGCCTCTTAAGGAGACTCTTCCACCATCTTAGAAGAATGGTAGAAAGCATCTTTGTTTCTCAGAAGCAGCTCTACTTTTCTCTGGCCTTAGCTTTCAGGAAGGGAGAAGATGAGAGTAGCTGTCATTTCCATCCTTCTAATCACAGAGGAGTTTAAGATACCAGCATGTAGAACCTTGACACCAAAA